CGAGTGACAAAATCTTAATGCCATTACTACCCCTTTGCAAAAAACGGTAGTACATTACATTTTTAATAATATCAAGCTAGAATGAAAACTGTAACTCAATCTTTATTGTCCAATGATGTTCAGACTTGTGATAATACTTTATTACTCACAACATTTTGACTTGTGATAATGTTTTATTACTCACAACATTTTACTCTAACTGCTTGTATAATTGAAATTACGGGTACATCAATATAATATTGTACAAATGGCCACTACATAACCAGTTTGGGGCAATCATCATAACCTTAATGAGTCTCAATATGATTTGGTCGTTTATAAACCATTCTAAGTCACTTTAATCAGTCGAGCGACCGATGAAATCAGTTAACATCAATATCCATTATAATTATACTTGATCGCAACTACAACAGTGATATATTGTATATCGAATAGTATTTTTAAATTAGCTCAAATGGTCGATGTACAGCATTGTAGCAAAACACTGTCAAACTATGGAATTACCTCAATTTCTCTAAAGTGTTCGACCTTACCGAAAACATTGAAATTCTCTTTATATAGTCTTATCACATTGGTCGGAAACATGGTGAATGTACGGCCACTACTGCCGCCGAAAAAGGTTCATGCTTACTCACACCCGAAACAGTAAATAATATCTTACATACTCGATAACAGTTTTAAAGAATGCAAATAACCAAAGTGGATAATGATAGAAACCAGAACGCCAAACAATATAAACCAATGAGATATATAGATTTTTTTAGAGGTACTTCAATTTGTTTTAAGAGCTTAACCCAGTACTATCCTAGTAGCGACGAACTGATCGGAAAAATGTTTATTACACAGCCAACTCTGTCCGAATAAGTTGATTTCTAAAGATCCTCAAGGAGATTTATCGGGTTCCTTGCAATTTTGTTTTCTCTTAAATTACTTATCTGTTACTTCATATCGCATGAGGCGTTCTGGTTTCTATTACTATCCGTTGCCCCAGATCATTCCACCTACTTACGCCTAAAATCTTGTCCTTAAGGAAATACAAATTTATTATGTGAAAAGCACTTCTGTGAAATGAACGAGTTTTTCAGCTGCCATACCATTAACAAGCTCAAGGAAAAGTATGCAGGTTAATGCGTGGCTAAATTACCGAGTCTTTCATGAAAATGGAATTCTTTATGCATTTGAACGCCATTTTCGAAAAATATGGTTACTCTCTGAAATGTCAGAACACGTCAAACAATGGTGGTGATAACAGTTCCGTGGATTCTGGAGCATACTTCTCCTTTGAGAAATTAAATGGGACCAACCAACTATACCTAAAGGTCAAAAGGCAGCTAGATCACGGTTTTCTGGTGGCTGTGGAGATGTGTTTTACCACATAAGTGATTTAA